TGTCACCGTATTCCAATTATCTAGATCTATGCTCATGCTGTTGATCACTGGATTGTCTGGTCCAATCACTATCACTTTTACAGACCGCCGCCGTGTCCCCCGCCGTGACATTGCTGGAATATTGCTAAATTCCGTCGTAAAGCTTTACTTCACTCGGCCGTCATTGTCGTTTGGGACCGAAGCGACTTCAACCAGCAATAAATGCAGCTCTCCCTGTGTGGAGTGAATCTTTGTGAAGAAACGTTTGATAGTCTATCTATATACATGTATATGCAAATAGGAGAAAATAAAGAGCAATGTATGGAATGCAATAACGTAATCTTACATTAACCCCAGAATTCGTTTGCTCTTTGCTTTGGAGACGACCTCAATCTTAAACTTCGATTAAGTAAGACACTTTTGCACGTCATTTCGAGACAGAAAAAAAGGTTTGTCAATCGCGCGAGATCCCGCGCAAGGTGTAAGTGGCACCAGTCGGTTTCCGTGCTACGGATTTTGTAGATCGATGCTCATGCAGTTGATCACTGGATTGTCTATTCTAGACTCGATTATTTACAGACCGCCGCCATATAGCTGGAATATTGCTGGAGTGCGGCGTTAGAAGAAGAAGAAAAATAGTTTATTAACGTGTCCCGTGGTATACAAATCATGTTAAAATCGCATACAATTCACAATAGAATATGTATACCACCTGGTCCTACGGCATATGAGACACGATAACTACTAAAATCCTGATGAAAATGTGGAATTTATTAATATAAGACTAAAACATTAAAATATTTATATACATACTGATAATTGTTGTCCAGGACTAAAGGGCGTGTTGTCGTCTAATATGCATTTGTGTTATATTGCGGCAAAGAGGCTTCACAAAACCAACCGACCTGCTGTCATCAGAGCCTGCGATACAGTAACCTTGACGGGAACAGGGTGGGTATTGCAGAGAATATTCATATAGCGATATATTGCGATGCGAAAAGATATATTGGTGATATGCATTGCAATATATTGCATGAAGTATTTTTGATTTATAGAGCGAAAACACAACAAAATCACTATGCTTGATTAAGCTTTAATAACAAATTTTAATCATGATAAAATAAAATGTGAATAATATTTGGCACAAATGAAACAAGGAAATATCGGAAGATTTCCGAGTGTTACGAACTTTTCCGAATGCATGTCAAAATACCGGTTTTCGATCAGCGTATCGCAATACGTATCGTTTTCATGTCTGAACCGGTAAATACCGGTAAACCGGTTATATTGCGCAGCCCTACGTGGAAACCATGCATGTTACTGTCGTAGCTATGGGAATTATGCAACACATTACGTAAAGTGCACCGACATGCTTGGGACCACCTGTTTTATTTCAAACTAAGTGCTTTTGTTTACAATGACAAGTCCGATGGTGCGTAAAGCCAACACCTGCAGTTGAGTTAGAGGAGCAGAACTGTCTATCGCGGCTTATAAGGTGTGCAGAGCCGTGTTTGTTGGCTCTCGTTTACAAAAACTGCTCCAGAACGCTCGACGTATTGTCTCGTTAGGAATAGCTGGCGTCATCTCTAAAGTGAAAGTAGGAACAATAGGATGTCAAAAACAAAAAGACAAATTATCAAGGATATATCTGATATTATCCCAGGGGCGGGGCAGGGCAGGGCAGGGCAGGGCAGGGCAGGGCAGGGCAGGGCAGGGCAGGGCAGGGCAGGGCAGGGCAGGGCAGGGCAGGGCAGTGCACACTATCAGCAGCACGTGGTTACATCAAAAAGATTTTTTTTTTTTTAAATACGAAATTGGGTGCTACGATTCTGGTGCATATAACTGTTGAACTGACAACGAAATGGCATATATACGAAATTACACCCATGGCATGTGTCATAGCGTCTAATTCAGGACAGCCATCGTCCAAATATTTTTAAAGACCAAAAACTATGTAGCCAAGCCATGTGAGACTTAATTGTATTTATGTATATGACGCTAATCTGCATACTTAATCCTTATCACTACCGAAGTGTACATTGTCTTGTCAGCCACTGTCACTTCTTTTTTAATTACTATTTAAAACATTTATAGCCTTAATTGGTCATCCCCCTTGGTCGTGCCTGCCATCGCCTCAAATGGTCCAAGGAACTGCTATTGTTTCTCTGTCTGTCCATTATTGAGTCTTCGCCTGTCCATTGTTGTCAAAAACTGTATATATGCTCACATCTATATTGTCAACCAGTCGGGTGTAGGGGCGACCGCGAGCAGGATAATGTCGCTGTAGGAAACGCCCTGGGGTTGAGCTGGAACTCTGCTCACCTCGTTCATGTATACTTGTTTATCAGGTACTGTATAATCAACTAAAGAAGTCTGAACTCAACGTATTTCTTCGTCTTCGTCAAGGTATTATTGTCCGAAGCTAATTCCCCTATCGACGCATATACGAGTTTGATCACTGGATTGTCTCGTCCAGACTCAATTATTTACAGACCGCCACCATGTAGCTGAAATATTGCTGAGTGCGGCGTAAAACTAAACTCACTCATATACGAGTTGACACATGTACAACATCGGCATTAGGCGAAAAGCCCTTAATACTATTCTTATCATAATTGAATAGCATCTATTTCATTACTTTCTGGCAGAATCACAAGTTGACACCGTTTAGGGCAGTAACTCAATCTAGAAAGGCGAGGACCCAAGAAAAGGCTACACGTTGTACCAGTATGGGGAACCGAACTCGGGTCTTGGGAGTGAAGAGCAAACGCTTTAACCGCTAGGGTTCTCTCACAGCTCTTTAAAACACATTATATGTCTCCCCCTTCTGCCCAGCCAAAGCCTTTGATGGAGCAAATCTAGATTTCCTCAGGTTCCGCCTCACTGGGACTCCTTTTCAAATTAAACCTGATTATTTGTTACTATCAACGTTATATATATTCAGAGACTGAGTGTTAGTCTGCGGCACTTAGTGCAGCACTGCTAAAAATGTACGTGCTCTAAACTGCAGTTCTTGCAAAAAACCAGACCAGACAATAGTTAAACTGTGTTCGTATTGAGAGAACCTGTTTCGGCGGCATGACATTGTTCCGTGATTTGACATATTTTGTCGCTATATGGAAAGTGGTTATTGATTGAGTGTATTATTCCCCAGAACGGTTCACAGTCTCTATCTCCACTCTGCACATTGGTGAGCTCGGGAATTAGGACTTTGGCTTCATCCGTTGTCATGGAGACGACATTGGCTATGCTTACACAACGAATGAATTAATCGGTTTGATTCTCCGAATGAATCTGTTTGTATTGAAATAGGATTCGTTTCTGGAGGATTGCCAAGTGAACAGATGAATCGATGTGTATTGGTATATGGCGGTAGAGTTTTCCATTGCCACTACGTCACACCAATGGCAATATTTCGACAAATGCGTCTCAAAATAAAATTTGGTTGCCAAGAGTTTTGTCCACCGCCGCAACGCGGAACAAAGGGACTTCAGTAGCGTCCGTACTTCATTCGTCACCACTCGCACCTTTCCGTAACCTCCAAGAAGACTCGTCCCCTATTGATGCTTGTTATGTGCGAAAATACGACAAACCAATCAGAACGCGCGTAATGGTTGCGGTGCTTTGATAAAAATAATCCCGACTACTTAAATCCTTTGTGGCATTATGTTATTGCTTAAAAATAATAAAAATATGTTTCGTCATATTGAAAGTACTAAAAGCATAGCTAACAGAATTGTGCTGTCTTATGTGAACTTTTGATAAGAATCATGGGATTGACGGTGAAAGATTCAAATACACGAACGTGCGTTTGTTGACATAACGGCTCTCACTGGTCCAACTGAGTGTATTTCTGACGATCCTGTGGGCTTGTTGTGGTAATTGTACGTGCTCTTCCAACAGTTGTAGAGAATGTAATTATAAATCGCTACGAGTTTCAAAACAATAATATTATATCTGTATGAAACTAATCAACTTTAATCTTTAACATTGGCATATATTTCACATCTCTGTGAATATTTTAGTCTAACTTTATTTTGCAATTGGTCATTCATATATCTTTCAGCGAATTCATTTTAAATTCCACTTGGGGTAAGACAGCAAGGTTACACGTATGTTCAGTTTGAGAAATATTTTAAAGTCATATTTGAGTTTCTGCTTCGGGATTTAATAAAGCTGTGTACTTTTATAAATCTTATTTGCATATATAATAAAACAAATCCCATTTGTGATTATTAAACCCTTTTCAGAAATATAATTGGAAATATAAGGTGAACATCTGGTAATAATTACGTCAGAATATGTCTTTAACAAATATGTTTTCTCCTTCTTTTAGTTGTATCAAGGAGGTTTAATTCTTTACAAACAAAACCAGCAATACAATGTATGAGTACTTCGGTGATATTAACTACCATTGGAATGAAACAGGAATAGAGTTATTGTTCCTGTTTAAAGTAGTTCTGATGTTCATACGCCAATATGAAATCCTTCCAGAGGGGCACGAGGCGCTATTTGGCTTGTCCCGGAATAACACGAGTTGGTCACGAATGTAATAATCTCTATATATACCACATTGTGTTCCTTAGTCTTTCTCATCCAACCATCGCCAGCGGCTGAAGGGATGGTATAAATCCAACTAGGGTCCATGCAAGTAGCAAAGGCACTGTAAGTCCCCATGGTCCCTTATATAGTGATCTACCTTCAATTGTTGGCGATCTATAGCCCGTTTTTTTAATACTGTGTTGTCCTAATTTGAAATCAAGTTTTAGAGAGAGATGCTAGTTTTATTTCTTGACACTGTGATATTCTAGTTGGTTTTACTGTCCTTCGTTGACAGGTTTTTATAATTTACATGTATTTATGGTGATTTTAAAACTTTTTCGAACCCCATGACATGGGCACAATGTGTGAGGCCCATTTCTTGTGTCCCCGCCGTGATATTGCTGAAATATTGCTAAAAGCGGCGTAAAACTTAACTCACTCACTCACTAATTGTATATTCTGTATTGTGTTTTCTGTAGGATGTCGACGTTCGGATGCACTATGATAATCAGACAAACCTGGCGACGCTGTTTGAAGATCTTAGTCGGATTCCTTCTTTTCATCGTGTGTGTCAGGTTCTCTGTTGTAAGTATCATCATCACATGTTGCTGGTCTCTCGGAGGGCCAGGGTACGATTCCCACATGGGTACAATATGTGAAGCCCATTTCTGGCGCCGTGATGTTGCTGGAGTATTGCTAAAAGCAGCGTATTACTTCACTCACTCACTCACTCACTCACCTGATCCTAGTGGTTAAAGCGTTCGCTCGTCACGCTGAACACCTGGGTTCGATTCCCAACATGGGTACAATATGTGAAGCCCATTTCTGGTGTTCCCCGCCGTGATTTTGCTGGAATAGTGCTAAAAGCGGCGTAAAACTAAACTCACTCACTCACTGAAGATCAATATTCTAACCCGGACCGTCACGGGTCGACCGCTAATGTCGACCGTTATGACCCACTTTCTCCCACTGGTTTATTGGTTTAAGAGAGGAACGGTGGATTCAGTTAGACGCTGTTCGTTGTACTACGTACACCCGTACTCTCGTTCACTTGTGGGGCGGTTGGGTAGCCTAGTGGTTATGCATTAATGCGTTCGCTCGTCACGCCGAAAACAAAGGTTCGATGCCCCACAGGGGAAAAGTCAATTTCTGGTGTTCCCCGCTGTAAACATGATGGAATATTGCTAAACGCGGCGTAGAACTAAACTCACTCGCTCACTCTTTAGGAACAGAGAACAAAGATCTGATTTTCATGTTAACGACGCTGAGTAACAAAGGAATAGAAATTACAGCTAATGACATTATACAATTATAGACTCTTGTAGAGGTCGATATCGGTTTTTATGGACCTGAGTAAAACAATATCGACCGAGCTTGCGAGGTCGATATTGTTTTTCTCAGGTCCATAAAAACCGATATCGACCTCTACAAGAGTCTATAATTGTTTTATTATATAATGAAAGAGAAACGGGTTTTAACATAAACTTTTAATGCACACACTGTGCCATCTATCCGAGTGATCTGATTGGCTGAAAAGCGGGGGAAGCCCCTTCGTACGGGATTCCTTGTCTAATTTTAGTAACCCAAGTCAATATCGTAATTTATCAGAAAACTCAAGTCAGTATCGTGTTTTGTAGTCAATCATGTGACGGTCTTTTGACCAATCGTGGTACAGGAAAAATGCTACCTATATAATAAAAAACGATATCTGGATATACAGTAAAAATGAATCGGGTAGATTTTTGCATGATTTATTTCCATCGATTAATTCATTATCATTCTCATTACAGCAACCACCATGCATACTTGGCTTCATCCCACTCCGGACGTTTCCGCTATTTGACGGAGATGTACGAGTACCACCCGATGTCACGGTGGTCACCGCCTACCTCAACCTCGGCCGTTTCAACAAGGGGGACCGAGGAACCGTGTTCGGTCCCACGTTGTATCTGGAGTGGGCCACTGTGTACGAGCATCTAAGGAACCCTCTGGTTGTGTACACCGACTCGGACCAGTTTGTCCGTCTGTTCACGGACATGCGACAACACTTGATGAACATTACAAAAATCATCAAAATTGAGAAAAAACAATTATGGGCGTTTGACCATTTGGACAAAGTCCGTAACATATACTCTGACCCGAAGTATCCAAAATACCAACCCAATACAGTGGTTCCAGAATATCCATGTGTTCAAAATGCAAAATACTCGTGTGTTGAGAAAGCTATAGAGAGTGACTTCTTCCATACCAAATATTACATGTGGGTTGATGTTGGTTACTTCCGGTTAATCACAAGCAGAAAAAGGGACTTCCGGTTGACACTTCCACGGAACTTTGACGAGAAGAAAATAGCTCTCAATCAAGTCAATCTAGACTATTCAATGGAGGAACGGCCAGAAGATATTTTTAAAATATATGTACGTGTGGGTTGGAGGGGGTCTTTCTGTCGCTGAGAAAGGCGTGTTTCGCCAGTTCATTAAGGATTACAGAAAGGCCGTGGAGCATTATTTGGACCTGAATCTGAGCAACTCGGACCAGCAAGTTCTGTTTGCAATGTCAACAAAGGCGGAACGTGCTAAACTGAAACTGACAGTACAGATCAACCCTACGTCTGGGACGTCTGGGGCAGCTGCTGGTACTACCTCGGCTACCAGTGCTACAGGGAGGTTTGACGACATCATTGTGTAGGACACTTCCATGCATCACACACACCTATGCCTGATATCCATGCTCCTGTCAACCAAGAATTTTCCCCGATGTATCCAACGCCCTTGTGTATCGATCACCTTGATGTATCGAACACCCGGTTGTATCGATCACCTTGATGTATCGAACACCCTGGTGTATCGAACACGTGTACGTCAGTTCAGTGTTGACCCTATCACAAAGTGTATAAACCAGGGGTTTACACAGCAAAGTGCTTGTTCAATTCTACTTATCAGGAAGTGAAGGCCACCGTACAGGGCTTTAAACATGTACAAAATCTACAAAGTTGTATTCTGCTGTTCTGGTCCAGGAGAATACTTCATCTCTCATAAATGATCTTATAAAGACAGACTTGATGATCAAATGACATTTGATACTCGTGTTCCTCCATAGTGTGTTTCGTGTTCCATCTGGTGTATTTACCTTCATGTGCCTTGCGATTTACACACAAGATACAATCGTTCATATCAACCGACGTTAATGTCATAAACAATCTACCACCGTTAATCCAGAAACACTTTTATCTGACCGATACCTGTTGGGAAGGTATAACACCTGCATAGCTCAATGCTCTTTAATACCTCGTTTAACCAGATGCTTTTCTGCTCTGTGTGATTTCATTGGGAAATGTATCATCCGGGTTAACGGGGGTTCGCTGTCTTGCTGCCCCTGCTGGCATGCTCTGGGTCAGCAAGCTGGCTATTGTACCCGTGAAGATCCGGGTTAGAATTGTTCTTAAGTAACCATGCTTGTCGTAAGAGGCGACTAACGGGATCGGGTGGTCAGGCTTGCTGACTTGGTTGACACGTCATCATATCCCAATGGCGTAGATCGTTGCTGTTGATCACTGGATTGTCTGGTTCAGACTCGATTATTTACAGACCGCCGCCATATAGCTGGAACAAAGCTGAATGCGGCTGAGTAAACCTAAACTCACTCACTCACTCAAACTGTCCATTGGATAAGGACGAGCGTAATTGTATATGCCCAAATACATAATTATTGGTCATTTTTCTGCGCAAGGGAGGTAATTTGTTACCGGCTGAATCCATTTTTGTGCGGTTCTTCAGTGCAATATAAGCAGTATTTGGCTCGTATTTTCCAGAAGATTCCAAGCCAGCATGCATTCAGTCAAGAATAACTGATGACATTAATTACTGAATATTTGCAATAATTATGATTGTATTAACAATGTGGATTAACAGAATCATTGATCTTTTATCATATTTCAAACCGCTTGTGTGGAATAGATGTATCAATCATTTTTCTTTAGTGTCATACAAACAAAGTTGCAAAGCTGCGAGGTCTATAAAGACCTGGTTAATTTGATGCAAGTCATTTTTGCCCAAATTGGACAAAATATACTCATGGCAACGAATAAGGGAACACCACTTCACAGCGGAAGTGAAAATTCAATCTTTCTTGAAAATTTCAGCTTTGATTTAATTCCAATTTTAACAAAATTAATCCGTATGGACTACTATCATTGAGATTTTAGCTTGTCCGCAGCACAAGTTATTAGTTTTGGACTAGCTGGATATCGTCAACTTAAATGGCTGATGTTCAGTTCCCACCAGATATTATGTCAGTGTGGTCGCGCGAGAATTTACGAGAACTATCGTACCAGCTGTTAATTTTTTCATGAAACAATGCCATACGAAGTGCAATTATATTATCAGCAGTATGAATCGAGAGGTTTTGGCTGAAATTGACCAACGCCGCTCGACCGTTGTCCACTTCGCAATGTTTATTGAGATTAAAGCTTGTTCGTCTATGGGGATCCATGTGACCTTTGAAATTTTGTTGGAACTAGTACTGAGGTCAAAGGGCAACGTCACCAGATTAGACACAGTTTTGCAGTCGTATCACTTAGCTAAGGAAATATTCTCTATTGGACGAGGCCCAGCTTTTAGGGAAGGGTTTAATCATGAAATGCATATAGGTGAGACTGCATGTGACATTCATGCATCTTTAAATACCACGCAACAATCGTTAGAGGGTTTGAGTAAGGGTTTACGCCAAGTTTTAAGCAATATTACGGCGAGGGACACCTGAAATGGGCTTCACGCATTGTAGCTATTTGGGGATTCGAAACTTGGTCATCGGCGTGAAAAGCGAACGCTTTAACTATTAGTCTACACAGCGCCCACATAACCGTTAGAGGGGCGGTGGGGTGGCCTAGTGGTGAAAGCGTTCGCTTGTCACGCTGAAAACCCGGGTTCGATTCCCCACATGGTTTCATTGTGTGAAGCCCATTTCTGTTGTTCCCCGCCGTGATATTGCTGGAATATTGCTAAAAGAGGCGTAAAACTAAACTCACTCACTCACTCATAACCGTTAGCGGAATACCTTGCTAGGGTATCATGACACCAGTCAAGAGAAGTCACGTCGCTACATACCATTGTGGCAAGTGTGGCAGCCTAGTGGATAAAGCGTTCGCTCATCACGCTGAAAACCCGGGTTCGATTCCCGACATGAATACAAACTGATTGAATATTGCGATGCGCGGCGTAAACCTATGTTCACTGTAAGTGCCATTATCTTGAACGCGAGACGACATACTAAACTCGTGGGGCGATGGGTCAGCCAAGCGATTAAAGCGTTCGCTCATCACCTTTTTTAAAAGTCATATACGTACTGTAGCATGGGGCCCATGAAAATTGTTTCGTCGAAGGCAGAGGCGTGTTATTTTTATTTATTTATTTATTTATTTATTTATTTATTTATTTATTTATTTACGAAAGAATTTGGAAACACTGCGTCAGTTGGTACTTGCTACAGAAGCATCGGCTATTGTCCTGGGAGGGATGGGAACCTTTAGATGAATAGCATGGTCATAAAATGCTCCAAATAAATGTTTGTTCAACTTTTATGTTTAGTTTTTAATGTCTGTTTTTTAAGTGAAAGATAACCATGTCAACAAATAGGCTCGTGTTCACTGAACATGAAGTTACCTCATTTGTGATAATACCTAAACGTGAAAAGAGTTGACGTCAAACGCCATGACAGTTGATAATAGACTTTGATGGCACACAGTGAAAAAAATACAAACTACTGTCTCTTGGAGACAGCTTTGGGAAAATATCCAATGTAGGTACACCAACTCAAAATGGATGCTTCCATACGAGCTGTTTTATATGCAATATCAGTTTTTGTTTGTTTTGTTTATTTTTCAAAAGCCGAAGGTTTCGTGTTCATAATGAAAATAGTATTACAATTGGGCGTTGTGTTGGTTGTTTGTTGATTTAACAGGAACGGACTGAATTCTGAAGATACACCTCTCCCATTGTTCGTGACCCTTTCAGACCGCCTCCGTGGTTAGTGGTTAGAGCGTCCGCCCGGAGAGCGGTAGGTCGCGGGTTCGATCCCCGACCGCGTCATACCAAAAGACGTTAAAATATGGTACTTGTTGGTCCCTGCCTGACGCCCGGCATTAATGGGTACAAGGACTGGTCGGCTCGGAGTCAGTATGATGTGTCTGAGTTGGGTATTCGTGCTTCACTGCGGCATGCCCAATTTCACCTCACCTCACCTCGTGACCCCTTCGTGTTATTCCTCACGACAAGAACTTCTTGGAGGTTACGGAAAGGGTTGGTTGGTTGGTTGGTTGTTTAACACCGCACTCAGCAATATTCCAGCTATATGGCGGCGGTCTGTAAATAATCCAGTGATCAACAGCATCAGCATCGATCTGCGCGATTGGGAACCGATGACATGCGTCAACCGAGTCAGCGAGCCTGACCACCCGATCCCGCTAGTCGCCTCTTACGACAAGCATGGGATACTAAATACCAATTCTAACACGAATCTTTACGGTTCGGTTACGGAAAGGAGGCACCGTGCGGTGACGAATGAGGGTGGTGATTGGCTTGGGGGATTTCAAGGGAAGGTAATCTGCGATCACAAGGAACCAGTGGAATGGATCCTGGGGGTTCATCGGAATTCAAGCTCTGGAAATGTTGGGACCCCCTGGGTCAAATACTGCCGTCTACTCCAAGCTGCACCATCAAGATATGTGTTTGATCATATTCAGTAACAGATAGCCTCAGTGAGATTAGACAGTTCCAATACCGGTCCTGAAACAAAACCATGGTTTCAGACAAAAACAGGTTTTCAATCAAATAGTAGTAAAATGGACCAAAGCGGACGTACAATCCTCGCTGTTTGCATCAGGTTCTATCAGTTTAGGAGGAGTTATCTACCTTGGTCATGTGGATTTGCTTGACGATTGACGCACATTCGTCACCACTCGCCCCTTTTCGTAAACTCCAAGAAGACTCGTCCCCCTCTTGATGCTTGTTATGTGCAAATATACGACAAACCAATCAAAACGCGCGCAAATGACCGCGGTGCTTTGATAAAAATAATCCCGAGTACTTAAATCGTTTATAGCATTATGTCATTGTTTAAAAAATCATGAACAATATATATCGCTGATTTTGAAAGTACAAAGAACGTAGCTAACAGGATTTTGCTGCATATTATGAAGTTTTTAATGAGAATCATGCGATTGACGGTGAGAGATTCAAAAACACGCTCGTGTGTTTGTTGATGCCGAGCGCCAGGCAGGGACCAACAAGTACCATATTTTAACGTATTTTGGTATGACGCGGTCTGGGATCGAACCCGCGTCCTTCCGCTCTACAGGCGGACGCTCTAACCACTACACCACGGAGGCGGCCACGAGTTTCAAAACAATAACATTATATTTGCATGTAACTAATCAACTTTAATCTCAAACATTGGGATTATATTTCACATCTCTGAGGATATTTTAGTCTGACTATTCTTTTGGTCATTCATATTTTTTTAAGCGACTTCATTTAAAATTCCACCAGGGGTATGACAGCAAGATTACACGAATGTTCAGTTTGAGAAATATATTAAAGTCATTCTTGAGTATGTGTTTTGGGATTTAATATAGCTGAAATTTGTAAACTTTTATTGGCATATTCAATAAAACAATTCCCAGGTGTGATTAGTAAACCCTAATTGGAAAAATTAGGTTAACAGCTGGAAATAATTACATGAGAATATGTCTTTTAGAAATATGTTTTTCTCCTTCTTTTAGTTGTATCAAAGAGGTTTAATTCTTTAAAATAAGATAAATAAACAAACCCCCCAAACAACAACCTAGCAATACAATGTACATGTGCTTCGGTGATAATTAAGAAACATTGGAATCAAACAGGGATAGAGTTATCGTTCTTGTTTAAAGTAGTTCCGATGTTCATGCGCCAATATGAAATCCTTCCAGAGGGGCACGAGTCGCTATTCTGCTTGTCCCGGAATAACACAAGTTGGTCACGAATCGGCTTGTCCCGAAATAACAAGAGTTGGTCACGAATGAGAGTGAGTTTAGGTTTACG